TTATGCATAAACTGAAATCAAGTTACATAGCACAATGGCATAATGCAATCTATGTAGGCAGCCCCACCTAGTGGGATAAGGCTTGTTGTTGTATCAAATTCATTTTGTCCAACTTCCATTGTTTTCTAGCTTAGCAACATTTCTGGGATTCTAATTCTTGATGTTCAATCACTACTTCCCTCACTTTGCAATCTACGTGCTCATTCACATGCCTGTTATGAGAGTACAAAGAGGAGTTAGTGTTGACCCTTTCATTTCAAATGTAACATTCTTGTTTTATCTAATGCAGAGAAATCGAATATATCAAAAAAGCCTCAACATGAAACTAAAATTATGGTTACTTAAACCATAAAAAACTACTGGGTTATTGGCCTTCATATTCTTCAATACTGAAGGATTTTGTTATATATAACTATATACAAGTCATTACTCTTCTAGAACTAGTCCATACGGTCCAAGATCAACAAATATGATAAAGATAAGATCTACACACGTTCAAGCCAAAAAAAATTAAGATAAGATCAACCCATGCATTGCTTATGTAAGACAGACTTCACATTCTGGTCTGAGCAGAGCAATAACAACAAACTGGTGTTATTGTTATTATTAAGTTATATGTTGCCTCCTTGCGTATGCAGTAGCTATATGTTGGTTTGTCAAAGGACTACGTTATCTACGTTTACATTTGGTTTTGTTTACATGTTACTTTGATGTAATTAATACACATTATATAGAATGGTATCAAAAAAAGACATCAACACAGACCATGGTACTGAAAACAATTGTAGGGAGTCAATGACATGGGCAAGAAGCATGGATAATGCACTAATTGATGCATTTATGGATCAATAAAAGTATATAATAAGGGGCAAAAAAATGAACAGAACTTTCACAACAACATATGATAAGATAGTACAAGAGTTGAGTGCTAAGTTTGAAAAGAAAGTTGACGAGAGGATAAAAAATCATTGGAAAGCATTGAAAAAAAACTTCTCCAAAGGCCTATCAAAAAATAATAATAATAATAATAATAATAATAATAACTTCTCTAAAGTGCACAAAATTTCATTGGATAAAAAAACCAACCTACTCACTTATCAGATGCTGAACCAGAAGTGTCGGATACTCTCGTTGAGGTTAGATAATTTTATTTTGTATTTTATAAAACTCATCATTCATAAATTGTAATTATAGATTTCTTAAGCATTTATTCCAATCTAAGCCAAAAGCAGCAGCTTGGAGAAATACACCCATGCCAAATTATGAGAAGATGATACTCTAGAAAATGGAAACGACAAAGAAGGTAGGGAGGGGTCTCTGACTTCAAAAGGCACGGGAAAAAGAGAGAGAGAGAGAGAGAGAGAGAGAGAGAGAGAGAGAGAGAGAGAGAGAGTATACTCAACTATCGAAGATGACTTCAATGAATACATCAATGATGTTGATAATCAAATCTCTTGTAATGAGGTGACAATAGGAAGTGTTGACATTTTTATTGATGTTGATAATGAAGTTTTCTCAATCCTAAAACAAGAACTTGGGGGAACTAGTTATAGCAAGAAGAAGAAGAAATTGTTTAATCATGATTTTAATGATTACAAAATGGAGAAAATTTCATTTAACTGGGAAATTTAATGGCATTTAAGCGAATCAAGAAGTAAATGGGCTCCTATGCATTAAACCTTGATTCCTATTCCCCCATATTACTTTGCCTATACCGATAATAATATGAACTGCCTAAATTATAAAGCCTCGATTCCAAGTGATTTTCTATAGGAGAAGTATTTGACTTTGCCTAGAATCTTTTAAGGCTTGTCTGGTAACAAACCTTTGTTCTGTGAGAAGTATTTCAACTGGTTTTAATCCCCACTTGTAATTGTTTTAGAACACTAAAACTTCTCTCTTCTTAGAAGATCTTTTTCTCTATATCAATACTAATCTTGCTTATACCAATACTGAGCTCTCTATACCCATACTATTTTCTCTACACCTATACTAAGCTCTCTGTACCCATACTATTTTTCTCTATACCTATACTAAGCTCTCTATACCCATACTAAGCTCTCTATACCCATACTAATCTTCTCAATACCCATACTATTTCGTCTATACCAGTGTTATTCCTTGTTTCTCATGTTACATCTTATATGAGCACAAACCTTTCTTATATGGCTACAAACCTTTTTATATGAGTGAAGACCTACCTTATATGGGTACAAACCTACCTTATAAGGGTGCAGACTTGTCTACACCAGTACTATTCTCTATTTTTACACTATCCTTATCCCGATATTATTTATTTACACCCATATTAAACTTAGCACTTATCTCCAAAATATTCATTGTCTATACCGATACAATGGTACTTAAAATGGTACTAACACAAAGGTTTGTGCTCTGTTTTACGTTCCAAAACTTGTGAGCTTCGTGTCTCACTTGTTTCTCATTCTTTTCAATTTCTAAATGTTGTGCTAGCCTTATTACCTATCTAGAAACCATCTAAACACAACCTTGGATAAAGCCTAAATAATTATCAATTCTTATACATCTATTCATACCCACATTACATTTGGCTACACCAGTATTAATGTACCTATCTTTTGTCAAAGCATTAAATGCACATAATCACTACTTTCCTTACTTACCATGAGCACTCAACTCCACCAAAAAGCACCATGTCATTGCCTTATTTCCATAGAAGCTTAGAGGAAAGCTAAAGATGAGTCTAACGGTTAAGCAAGTGTGTCTAACGGATCATTAGTTGTCTCTAATTATAAATAAACACATTTATGAAGATAAAAGTAGAGAGCTAGAAGAGTTATTGCACAAACTTATGTATTCAATTTTTTACCAAACTTCTATGTATACATCCATTGTTTTATGTACTGATTGTAAATCTACTCTGAGAGAGTCTTTAACAGTAGTTATTCATTCTTGAACATGTTCTATTTATCCCTATTTTTCATTCTTCAAGCAGAGGATTTAAGCTCGGAAAGCTTAGGAGGGATATCACATTACCTTTACAAAAAGGAGTGATTAAAGCCAATGTCTAGAATTGTATTGTGCCAACTAAGAACCCAGATTAATTTTGGTAAAGTAAGTGAAAAAAATCTCAACTGTGACTTGAGGACTGGACTGAACGTAGGCTCAGATGATTAGAACTAAACTAGGATAAATACTTGTGCAAGTTTCTCTTACCTCCTCTCAACATACTTTGGTGTTATCATTCTTAACTTATCTTTTTAATCTTGCATTATTTATCAAATTTTTATTAATCCCTATTCATCCACCTCTTAGGCAGTTTTACAGAAAGTTGGGTAGGACCAAAAATACAAACAAATTAGAGAAGGCTATGGTTGATGTAGTTGAAGCATTAAAACATGGAAATATCAACTATTGAGTGCTTGAATCGACTAGTTATGAGATTGATGCAGCTTAACCAGAGGTCTCAAGCTCAAGTCCCAATGCAATAATGATTAAATTCTCAATGGGAGGCATGCTCCCAAAAAGTTACCCACAAGCTACTACCTAGATTAGTCTAGGACAAAGACATGGAATATCAAAGCTCATGCCAAAAAAAAAACCCTAAAACAAAGAAATATCATACTCCAAGGGTGCTACAGTCACAAGCAACGACAGATATCTAGAAAGGAAATTTTGTCTTTGATCAAAGGATGTGGATATGACACCAATAAACTGCCAAAGATTTATACCAGTCTTATGCATGAAGGTGATATGCTTACAATAGTCTTGTTTACAATGGTGATATTGCATAGTACAATCGAACAAATAATCTTTTTTTCTTCAAAATAATACACTGCCTCCATCCCAAATTATAAAACACTTTTTAAGGAGATTCAACATCTCAAAATATAAGACACTTTAATAGGAATAAAGTTTCATTAATGATACTTTTTCAATATTACCCTTCCAATATGTTCTTTCTCTTTAATATCCTTTCACAAATTGAGTATTAAGTGAAAGACATTTTTGAAAATTTATAATTAAAAAAAAGTAAAGTTGTAAACATATTCAATGAGCTTTATTGGTATGATTTTATTTAAAAATGTTGTATAAATTAGGATGGAGGGAGTATTAATATAAAACTTTGTATTTAAGAATAATGGATAGAGACATAATTTTTTATGCATGAGAAAATAATTCAGAATAAAGAACTTTAACATAATTATTTTTAAGGCAAAAGATTTCACATTTTCTATTAAAAAAAGAAGACATGCATACTACAAGAAAGAAATGAGTTATAAGTTTGATAAGGGCAAAATGGTCAATATATTTTTACCTCCCCCTCCTCTGCTCTTGAACCAAAGAAGAAATAATTACCTTCCCTCCCCTCCAATTGAACCAAATAGGAAATCATTACCTCCCCTCCCTTGAACCAAAAAGGGGATAAATATTCTTCCTCAAGAAAATGAACTCAATATCTAACGGACTTCAAATCAATGCTTGATAGATGGAGTAGCAAATCCATCTTAATATTCATTAACCCTAAATGAACTTGTTTTCAACAGAAATCCTATCTAGCCAAGAAGATGGTGCTAGTTCTTTTTTTCTCTCCATGAATACAACGACAGTATGACTCTCACAAACAACACAGAATTATCTGATCATCTCTACAAATAATAAACTTGAGCTAGCTCATTTCCGAAAGGTAATTATTAAGATTACCATGTCAAACGTAAGTAACAAGTTGCAAAACAATTAGATTAACAAGGAACAAATGAGACTTTGTAATTCTCAGTGAAGTTCCGCACCACTCCTTGCTTTGAAAATCTCCTTAGAACTTGTTACAAATTTAAACAGAAATATACTTGATCTTAAAGTGATTCATTATGCAAAATGTAGAATAGGCTGACAATCCGTGTCAGAAAACTACAGGTAAAAGCAATTTAATGACAGAAACAGAAGCATGATTTTAAGAGAAGTCAACATTTCCAACAGCGAAGACACAGTTCTACAGATGCCTTGTCCAGGAGAGATCTTACCTTCCCATAGAAAGAATACCTCGAACATGTTTGACTTGGCTAAATTCACCAACAACAGTCTTTTCAGCTTCTCTTTTTTGTTCTTCATTCATGGGAGCGGATCTTCCACCCATAACATCCGCTACTTGGGCCACAAAGCCCTTATCTACCTGTGCAATCAATTCAACCCCCTCTTCAGCTAAGAAATAAACACAAGCATTAGATTGCATCGGTTCCGGAGAACATTACCCGGAAAAAGTGATTTGTGTTATAGCATCCAAGTCGCACAAGTTTAAAAATGTGATCAACAGTTTTGGGTGCAACTGTGGGAAAGAAACCAAATTCAATATCCCCGTAATTCGTCTGCATTAAAAAACGAAAGTGATTCAGGCCAACAAAAAAACCTATATGAATATTAGAAATCCTTATCTACCGCATATTCTCAACCAAGACGGGATCTTTTATTCCTTGAGCAAGTCAAATACAAATTTCACTCCTACCCAGTGCACGCAAAGCACAAAACTGATCTGAATGGTCTTATTAAACAAAGTGCGTTATCCACAGTTCGGGTTTCTCATCATAATTATCATCCATGAATAAGTACAGATTCATAAAAAGGATCGTCCGCAGCAAAATTGGCAAATAAATAAGTAGTACCAAGTCATTCTGCTAAAGCCTTGTAGTTTAAACTTGTAATGCAAAATCAAGTACAGGTTTGGCGAACTAATTAACAGGACGATACAAATTTTTAACCTGAAAGACAACACGGGTAGATCCAAGTTCGGGTTCTTGAGATAAAGCCCCAGAGATTGCAGAAATATACACCAAATAAATGCAACCCTTGGTCCGCAATTCTCTAAGATCGATTTTTGGAAACAATGCCGTCGTCGGCCATCTCGCCATCCTCACCGTCACAGAAGTGAGAAGACTCAAATAATAGAAGCAACAGATAGTTGGTAATGGTGTAAAACCCAGCTAATCCAAAGCATAAATCAAAGTATAAGACAGAAATTGACTGATGATATCACTTTCCTCCTCTTCGTCGATGGAGTCAATCGAAGATCGAAGCCGGTGTCTTGACAGCAAAAAAAGATGGAAGCTTGTTTCTCGACGGTGAAGAGGATTGGAAGCTTGTCGTCACTATCCTAGCATTCCGATCTCCAGTCCGGTGACGGTGATAGGGGTCGAGGTCGGAGATGTTGCCCTCGGGGTTGAGCCGTTGATCTTTGTCGAAGGAAAGGAGCTATGCAAGGGTGAAAAGGGTAGAAATGTCAGCCAAAATTTGGGGAGGATCTCTTCCTTTTCCCACCTCTTTCTCTCTCTCTTTCCCCTCTTTTTCTTTTTCCTTTTTTTTTAACTGAAAAAAAAGCATTCATAATTAAAAATGAGATTAGATCATATCAAGGATAAATGGCATGCTTAACCACTTTCATAATCAACTCTTGTCTTTTTTTTTACTGTTGGATTAAAAATTGGGAGAATTGCATCCAAGGTCAGAAATAAGAAATTTACAAACAAGGTTCAATAAAATCATATATTACTCTAAAAGTTCAAAGACCTCATTTGTAATTATATTTCTCAATGAAATGACATATTTGCTCCTCCTAAAATTAATTGATGTTTGACTTTAATCTCTTTTTCCTCTCCTCTTTCTCACTCTTCCTTCTCTATCTTCCTCTTTTTGTAACATCCTAAAAATTTATTCTCCAAATTAATTGATTGAATGAGGGGTAGTTTGGAAAATTTAATAGTAATTGAGTGTGAAAATGGTTAGAGAGGGCTAACAAACCTATTGGGCTTTGATTTCAATCTTTGAATCAAGTCCAAAGTTGATTTAGGCCACTTGGACCCAATTATAATGCAAGACGTGAACTGACCTTTTCTTTATCATTCATCGATGCAAATGGACCATATGTCATGATGGATGGTTGATTTTTTGACTTAATAACAATACCTTTAGTTTGAATTTTGAAGAAAAAAAATGGGAGAACATGAAGAGAAATGTTGAGCTCTGCCAAGGCATAAAAAATTTGAAGGTTTGGGAGTATTTTGAGCTTGTCTACATCTAGGCAAGCTTCCATCTACCCTCCCTCTTCCTCTTTACTTAGTTTTTAAGCTAGGATTGCTATGGGAGTGTGATTTTCATACCTTGGGAGCTGAACAAAGTGATTACACACTAAGCAATTTAAACTAGATTAATCAACTATAGAGTATAGTGGCAACCTAGGTCGATTTCCTAAGAGGTGTTTAAAAATTAAATTTAGAGCTTCCTAATGCAATTAAATTAAAATAAAAAGCCCCAAGAGAATATTGATTTTAATTTATTAAAACTAAAACATTAACTAACCTAATTAAAGTCTAAAGACCTAAGCTAATGAGTTTGTGAAAATTGAAATGGAATAAGGTACTTGGAATTGAATCAATGCTCAAATTCTAACCACTTATGAATGTTAATTAGCCACCCTTAATTCTTCTCTTCCTAATCAAATTATGAAACAACTAGGATAATTATCTCCAGCAACTTAACCTCATTAGGGACCCTAATTAAACATAGGATTCTAGAGCCTAACTAAATTCCCTAATTTAGCTTTAAGCCTAAGTTAGGTAATTAAATTTAAATTCTAGCAAACATGCTTAGCCTTTTACACTCTTAAATAACTATGGTGGATTACAAGCAAGCCAAACAAACATTGCTCAAGATTGTGATGAAACATAAGCTAGCTTAAAACACTCAAGAATATTCAAAATTATGAAACATTTTAGAGAGGCCAAAATGTATAGCTCAACATATCAACTAAAATTTAACAATAATCAAGTCAATCTCCATATAAAAACATTGGCCAAGATTATGGTTGTAAAGCCAAACCATAGCAATCCAAAACTATGGTCTTACAAGTCTGTTAATGAAAAAAATTAAGAAAAAAATAAAATAGTTACAAAAATAAAGACCCTAGCGATTCAATGAGGTTCCATTCTAGTCTAAGCACCCAAAGTGATTTAGCTTTCAAAGTTCTTCAAGTTCTCCATGGGAATGTCAAAGTGGCCAAACCCCTTCATAGAATCAAATGGAAAATAAAGCATGAAATGGATGATCAAGTGGTAAGAATGTGTAGAGAGGAGTGAGAGGAGAAGAATGAGAGTGATTCGATAAGGATCTAATGGTTGGATGAAGAGAAATGGAGGAGAGAAAATGGCAAAAGTGGCTGGAATTTGAGAGAAAATTAAGAACAATTAAGAATAAGAGAGAGAATGTATAAATAAAATGAAAGAGATGATGATTAAGATGAGGGTAACGGGGAAAATTAAAACAAAAAGGAAAAGAAAAAACTAGGAAACTATTCTCATTTATTTCATCAAATGATCTGATTATTCTATCCCTTTTTAGACCCAAACTAATGCCATTCTTGCCCAACTTAGCCCCCTTCCATGATCTTTGACCAATTGCAAAAAGTCTAAGTTTAAATGTGCCACTTAAGTCATAAAATGTATATAAAATCAAAATCAAATATTCATGTGACCTAATAAATAAATTCTTGCACATGGAATTAATTAACTAGCATAGAATAATATCAATAAAGTAAAAAAGCACATCAAACCCTAATTTGATCAGCAAAGTCAACAACCCAAAAAGCGATTTTTATTTTATAACTCCTAAACTAAATTGAATTTTAAAAAAACAATTTCATATTCATTCTTTTAGGCATAAAACACATGGACCATAACATTAACCCAATTTTTTCATAAAAAGTGCAATTTTTGACCAAAATATTCCTAGGGCACAATTTTTCCCCTTAGGTGATTTTATCACTTTTGACACCATAAGTGTACCAAAATGAGGAATAAAACATGTAAAATGGCCTAAATGAATGGATAAATAAAATATAAGTCTTATTAGAAGTCTTGGGTCCAAACCCATTGACTTAAATGGAGTTAATTAATAGGAGTTGTTTAAGCTATATAAACTTGTGTTTGATGATTTTGCATGTCCTTGAGTTGGAGCTCTCATTAATAGATGAAAATTAGCATTTACTATGGTAATTAAATATTGTTGGAAGTCATTAATTGTGGTTGTTGAGTATAGTGAAGCTATATAGACCTAATGAAATTAATACACCTAATGGGTGTGAGTATGTACAAAAGGTTGAAAGTTTTAGGTAGTTAAAGTGTTGAAATCAGACATTAAAAGTTGTAATCAGTGATAATAATAATAATGGAAAGTGTTGTTAATTGTAGATTAACTGTAACAGCATGGCCCCTAGCCCCTTATGCTAGCGAATGTGGTGCTGGCACGTGTTCCCTCACGAGCCCATGTGTGACTTTTCCCATAGTAGTACATGGGTTATTCCTCACTCCACCAAAGAGGTCTTCTGAAACCTTTCCAGAGATTGAGCCCCAACCTCTCCTGCATTAGTAAAGTTGGTCTACTTAAAAGTTTATTTTTTCTTCTTAGGAATGTTACCAACTCTTAAATAGTTCTAGTGACTAGCCTTCAATTCAAACTTTCTAACTCTTTCAGACCACCTTTCCTCCTCCTAACAATTTTGAACTACATCTGCAAAGCCTTCTTCCAAGAATTGTGCAACTTGACACCTAAAAGGTATTGTCTGACGAGACAGTTGAGGAATACGAGCATTATGTAGGTATGTCGATTGATGGTCAGAACTGAACTTCCTTAAGTGGAAAACTTTGAAATCTAAAAATTGGGAAACTCATTCAATGTTGATTATAACATGTGTTATGCCAATTGTATTTGAGTATGATGATATGAATGTTGGCATGCTTAATGTGTTAAGCATGTGTATATAATGTTACATGTTGTATAATCATAAAGCTAGTACAAAATAAGGTTTTTATAGGAGACTTTCTACATTGTTTGGCATGTGTGTTGCATGATCATAACACTGGTACAAAATAAGGTTTTTATTGGAGATTTTCTATATCGAGTAGTAGGCAAACAATGTAGAAAGTACAGGTGGTGTCATTTTTGTTATAATAGTCAAAGACTATTTGACTTTTTGTATCAAGTGTCAACACAACTATTATAGATAATACTTTTGACATCAAGTAGGGGTCTACTCGATGTAGGATAAATTTATGAACTAAAATAACTTTCTATATCAGGTAGGGGTTTACCCAATGTAAAAAGTATCATTCTACATTAAGTAACTTGCAACCTAATATAAAATAAATTTACAAATTAAAAAATAGAAAATGAATATCACTTTCTATATCGGGTGCCACGTTACCTGAATGTAGAAAAGTTCATGTTTTACATTCGGTGGGGAACACCTGATGTAAAAAGCATTTAAAACTAAAAAAACACTTATTACATCAAGTGGAGCCCCTACCCAATGTAAAATGTCCTTTAAACTCCCTCGCTCGTTGTCTCTCATTTTGGCTCTTCTTTTTCAGCATCTTCATCATCATCATCGCTGCCTCTTCCTCACAGTCTCTTGTCGTGGTCTCTTTCTCTACTGTCGACGCCTCCTCCATTGTCTCTACCCCTTGCCTCCTCCTCCTCCCTCATCCTCCTCTTTGCCTCACCCTACCCCCTCTCCTCCTCCTCCTACTCTTACTCCTCCTCCCTCTTTTCCCTCGGCAACTTCCATAAGGCATGGACATAATTCCTTTTTTTAATTTTTAATTTTTTTAATATATATATATATATATATAATTATATTTTAATTTAGTTTTGAACTTGTGTGGCCTATATGTGATGAGACACATGATTAATATCATAACATTGGGCAAAATGAAATCTACAAAAAAGGTAAATATATTTTTTAAAGTTTTATTTTATTATGTTATTTGAGATTATTTAATAAGCCCTTTTTGTAAATTATATTTTAGATATTCAACAATTCAAATTTATTTCTCAAAGCTAAAATTGAAGACATTAGGCAATTTATTTTGGGGAGAATTTGCGAGTTTCATAGATGGTTTCATACAATTTAATGAGTTTGCTAGTTGTAGACAAGTTTTGAAAACTTTTGTTGAGAATTTTGATAGTTTTATACAATTTAAATAGTTGTTAATTTTGGATAGTTCAATAGTTTTTGGGTAGTTGATAAATAGTTGTTACTTTTGGATAGTTGTTAATTTAATTTTATATTGGACATTGTAAATAAATTGTGTTATTTGATTTGGCCTTGTTAATTTTTGTATACAGGAATGAATAAAATTGAAAAAATAGATACATTAGTATAAAAAACAAAGACTTTCTACATCGGTTATTGCCATAATCAATGTAGAAATTTCTACCATAACCGATATAGAAAGTATATTTCC